TAGCATAGTCATAACAATAAGATAATAACCCTCATTGACGGCCTACCTGGAGCCAAGCCTTGTTTTAAGTAATTTAATCTTCACAACAGCGCTATGAGGAAGATAGATAATGTTCCTGTCCCCATTAAACAGGTAAGAAAACTGAGGCACACAGCTGTGACTTCCCAAGGCCACACAGCTCATAAAACGGGCGAGCTGATTCAAACCTCTGAGCCTGCATGCTGAACCTCCCTCCTCTATGACCACCCTTGGCCAGTCAAGCACAATTTAGTGGCAAGCTCTGGGGGTCCAGCTCTGCCACTCGCAAGCCGTGACTCTGGGCAACGCTCTCCACTTGCCCAAATCACCGTTTTCTCGCCCATGTCATGAGGAGAGCAGCGGTATCTCCATCCTTGGTCGTCTGTGGATTAGTAAAGCGTGGGAAGCACTTAGCACAGTGCTGGCGTGGAGTAACTGCTCGATAATCCTGTTCTGAATGATGAAACCAAGGCACAGACTCAGTTAACATGGTACTGTGTGCCTATGTGCTGACGTCTTTAGAAATGAAGAAGCTAGAAAGTGTCAAAGCTAAAACCCAGATCCCGGTTCCTGGCAAGGTCAATAGGTGCCAAGAATTAACAAATACCCATGGAATTTTGCTTTTGTTTTAAGGGAAAAGGGGGAAGGCTGACACTGGAAGCCAATTTATGAAAATGCCCATGTTAGTAACTTCCTTCCTAAGAGTCCTGTAGGGAAAGGGGCGAGAGCAACTCGGCAGAGGGGGAACATGACACACACTCCTCTGGCCACGGGTAAAGCTCATGGTGAGAAGTCATACTGATAGCATGTACCTTTGATAAAAGAATGGTGCTATACTTCTACCTCCTGAAAACCTAGAACCCCTGCCTAATCGCAAGGAAAATATCAAACTCAAACGGAAGGGCATTCTACAAAACACCAGCTTAGTACTCCTCAAAACTGTCAAAGCCACCAGAAACAAGGAAGGCCAGAGACACGGTCACTATCTGGAGGAGCCAAAAGAGACTACAGGTAATGTGAGATCCTGGAGGGGGTCCTAGAAGAGAAAAGGAATGTTAGGTAAAAGGGGGGGGGGGGTAAGGAATGTGACTAAAGAATGGACTGTAATTACCATTAACGTATCAGTATTATGAGTAGTGACAATGTACCACACTAACGTATCATAGTCACATTCCTGGATGTGGGCTACGGGGAACTGTCATACTATTTTTGCAACTTTTTAGTAAATCTGAATCTCTTCTAAAATAAAAGATATTCTTTAAAAAAAAAAGGTTACAGTATATCTGAATGGTGATGTTACAGGCAATTTCTTGTCTTAATTTTACTTCTCTGTGCTTTCTAAGTGGTCGACGATGAATATGCTCTGCTTTTGTTATCAGAAAAAAATTCAACAAACTTTGTTTTAAAAAAAAATAAATGAATGAATGGGTGTCTGGCCCTTTGGAGACAGAGTGCTATATAAATAAAAGTATAATTAGAGTCGTTCCTTGGGCAGCGATTAAAACCCACTTTATCATTCTGCTCCCAGGAGGCTCTCGCCACCAGGGCCTGGCACTCGGCCAGGGGTGGGCGGTGAGCCTTCGCCACCTGCCAGCACTTTTCCCGGCTGTGCTGGGCTCTTGCTGGCAGGGCACAGGCAGAGCCAGGGCAGTGGCTGCAGGACCAGAGGGCTTGTCCCAGGTGAGGAGACACTGCTGACTCAGAGACACCCTCAGGCAAAGCCGCCCCTAGAAAATCCTGTTCAACAGCTTCCAGGCCATTGTCAGCCTGCTCCAGGAGTCAAGAAAACCAAATACGGTCCTCCGGTCCCCCGTGCCCACCATACAAAGATAGACAGGACTGGGCCAGCCAGGACCACTTGCTTGCTTGGCCCCAGGTAAGGTCATCACCATTTAGGCCTCAAACAGTTCTGTGCAGCAGCTACAGTAGCCCCCCACCCCCTACCCCCAGTTCCGCTGTCCACGGTTTCAGATACCCATGGTCAACCACAGTCTGAACATAATACATGGAAAATTCCAAAAATAAACAATGTATAAGCTTTAAATAGCAGGCTGTTCTGAGTAGTGTGATGAAATCTCGCACCATCTTGCTTCGTCCCACTTGAAACGTGACTCATCACCTGGTCCAGTGTCTCCATGGTGCAGACGCTGCCGGCACGGCAGTCACTCAGCCACCATCTCGGTTGTCACATTTGTCACATGGACTGTCCCAGCATCGCAGTGCTGGTGTTCAAGGAGCCCTTATTGTACTTAACAATGGCCTCAAAGTGCAAGACCAGTGATGCTGGCAATTTGGATTTGCCAGAGAGAAGCCATGAAGTGCTTATTTTTAGTGAAAAAGGGAGTATAGTACAGTAAGATTCTTTGAGACCAACCACCTGCATGCAACTTATATAACAGTCTATTATTATAATTTTGATTTTGTTGTTATTGTTATTAATCTTACTGTGCCTAATTTATACATTAAACTTTTTCACAGGTATGTATATATAGGAAAAAAAGTGTGTGTGTATAGCAGCACATATACATTATCTATGTACATACATACACGCAGTTGAGTACTATCTGTGGTTTTGGGCATTCACTGGGGGTCTTGGAGCAACAGTATCCCCTGTGGATAAGTGGAGACTTCTGTGCTCTCTTACTGTAACTCTTTTAAAGCTGAGGCTCAGAGAGGGTCCCTGAGGGTCAGAAGCAGAATATAACCTGACCTGCTCACTCCTACACCAGAACTACTTGTCTCTAATCTCTTCAGGGATGGGCTGCACCCTTGGCAGATGGCGGGACCACCTTTGGGGGACAGGAAGCTGGAGGAAGAAAGCGCTAATGGCGGGCAGCAAACCGTCAGACTTCCCACAATACCGCGCCACTGCCTCCCAAATCCCGAGGGCCAGGGGCCAGGGCCAGCTTGTCAGCCTCAACCCATCCTGAGCACAAATTCCAGCTTGGGATCACAGCAGCTGTGGGCCTGCTCTCCGGGCTCTCCTCCTGTTCGGTTTCCAAGGCTTCCTCCCCTGTCTGGTACTCAATTTGTACACGAACGAGCTCCTGGTGAGGGCATCAGAAGCAAGGAACAGGGTAGAGGCTGTGCTGAGTCATTTCTAACTGCATGGGATTGGGACTAGATTCCCTCAGTTATCAACAAAAACCATGGGAAGGGACAGCTCAGCTTTCTAACACGTACAGAAAGGGTCTGGTTCCTTTATTGAGGCATTGAGTTGTTGCCTTCCAAGTGGTCTGTGCACTTATTCTAATCATTCTTCCTGAGCTCATCCAACTGTTCAGAAATGGCTCTCAGAGCCACCTTTGACCGGAATTGATCAGCCTGCCTGAGTGCCCCAAGTATCCCCAGCACAGACATCCCAGGGACTTCCCACTGTTTCCAAAATCCAAAAGCCAAATCCGGTTTCAAAAGACTAAAACCTGCCCCTCTGAGGTCACGCCCAAGAACCCCAGGCACTCTGAGAAATGGTTGCACAGTAAGAATCACATCACTTTCCCAATTGTTTGTTCTCAGACACCTGCCTTCATGGCCAAAGTTCCTGTGTGTTGCTCTCCTCTCTCTCTGCCTCTCTTCAAAGGCCCTGCACCATTCCTCAGAGAGAGGGGGCATGGATCACCCCCACCCACTCACCAGATCTGGCTCTGCCTTCCCTGGAAGTGGGCCCCTGTCCCTTCTTCCTCCCAGAAGAGCCCAGGCACTGGGACCAGCCCAGGCTCCATTTGCCCCACTAATGAGCCTTAAGTGTTTGCCTTGGGTTCCCGCCAGTCCTACCACTACGGGGGAGGGGGAGGGGAGCGCATGAACAAAGCTCATACCAGCTGAGCCCTTCTAGGCCGTGGGAGGGCTGGCACCGGGGCTGCGTGGCACAGACCCACCCAGGGGCACAGCCAGGCACCCATTTGGGTCCCCCTGCCTTTCTCCCCCCACCCCTTGCCGCCATTCCAGGGCATTCCCAAAATGCAGATTCTTGGCACCACCTACTGCATTGAAATCCCAGGAGACTGTGAGGCCCAGGGAAGGTGAAGAACCACTGGTCTAGGAAAAGATGGGAATTCAGGGCTGGTTTGTGAAATTCTGTACACATGCGTTTTTCTAGCAAGTCCACAGCTTTGGTGAAATTCTCAGATTAAGTCGATAGCTCTCATACCCCAAGAGGCCAAGAAGTTCTGGTCAATGAGATGATTTCTAAATGCAGCTCTAGTCTGAATTCAGTGACTCTGTTAAGGTCCATCAGGGTGAGTCCACAGGAGCCTCTCCTTTTACCAAACTTCTGAGCAAGTCTGGGAGCTCCGATGACACAGAGCTAGGCTTAGGGACACGGGCTTGGTTGGGGAAGGCCAGAACCCAGGGGACATCTCAGAATGCATGGACTGAAAGGCCAAAAGGACCCTTTTCAGAAACCAACCTGTGGGTGAGAAAGGTGAATCTTCACCCATATCCAGCTTTCTCTCTCTCTCTCTCTCTCTCTCTCTCTCTCTCTCTCTCTGTGGCCACACAACTCAACTACATTTTTCTAGACTCCCTGGCAGTGAGAAGGTGCCATCAACTAAACTCTGGCCGGTGGAATGTGGGATTCCCACATCATGCTCCCCTCTCCCCCTTGGACGCTGTGGAGGGCTCAAAGGCATCTGCAGGTGACCGAGCCACAACACGGAAGGAACCTGGGCCCCAAATTACTTTGAGGCGCAGAGTGTCCCAACCACCAACCCACCTGGACTGAGCGATTTATTTACGGAAAATAAACCTTTGTGTGAAGGTACTGAAACTTGGGGGTTGTTTAAATCAGCAATCAGCCTTTTAGAACCAATACACCCTCCTCAGGGACCCCGAGCCCAAGAGTGCAAGGGTAATGACATGTTCAATAGCAGTTAGTTCCTGGTGCATCAGGGCTAGAACCAGCGTCTCCCAGCCATGGCCTTGGTCAGGGGGACAGGACGCGATGACCGCACACCACAACTGGGCAACACCAATTCCCAAAAAACTTTATTGTTTCAAGTGGCAAAATGTTATTGGTCTCTGTGGGGCACCTGGCAGGGCGGAAGGAGACCTGGGGTGGGGCTGGGCTCCACCCATTACAAAAATCAAAGGCTTTTATAAAAAATGCTATAAATTGGTATCAAAAGAAAACCCACAGGAGGCTGGAGAAGGAAGCAGGAGGGAGGTGGGTAAACAGCGCAGAGAAGGAGGACCAGAACCTTGGACCACTATCAACAGAATCCAGGCCGGAATCCAGGCCAGAAGGAAAGGTGTGGGGGAAAGTTGGGCAGGTGATACAAAGTGCATAAATGTGCCTCCCCAGATGCTCCTCAGAGATGGAGGGGAACAGAGGCTGCAGCCTGGGACATGGGGAACTCCAGCCACCTCCTCGCCGGGGACCCCACAGGAACAGGCACTGCCTGAGACCGCCAGATGGGAAGGACCTGTGCTGGGTGGGGAGAGAAGAGCTCAGGCGCCAACCACAGGGGCGGAGGAGATGCTTCAGCTCCCTTCCCCTGTGCCTATCCTGGATCCCCAAACTAAGCCCAGGCATAAGGACGGTTCCTGGTGGGTGCCCCCAGGGGTGCCAGCCCAGGAGGGCTGGTGGAGCACACTCAGGAGAGCCTTAGGGCCCAGCGACCATCCTGGAACCCAGGGATAGAAGCCCCGCTCCTTGCCCATCCACGGCGAGACACCACCCTGTTCCGTGGACAGAACTGAAGGAAAGTTGAGGGAACCACCGAGTCTCTAGAGCTTAGCTCCATCTGCCTGCTTCCAGCCCGGCAGGGAAAGGGGATGGAGAGGGGAAGGAGGGGCCCGCTGTGTCCTCCAGGGCATGCCTTGCTCATCCCTGAACCCCACTCCCCAAGCCCAGGGACCTGCCCTCACGTCAGTGACTTCTTAGACCTTCTTCTTCTTCAGCTTCAGGGCTTGTAGCCAGTTGGGCGACGATCCTTCTGACCTAGAAGGCAGACGGCAAAGGTCACAAAGCAAAACTAAGGGAGGCTGAACAAAATGAGGTGTGGTAGGAATAGAGCCCCCACCCCCACCCCTGGCTCCACCCAGAAGATGCAGCCCAGAGCCTGGCGGCAGAGACAGAAACCCTGCCACCAACTTAGCACATTTACTTTGGGACATGTCAACCTTCTCCCCAAACTTCAGTTTTCATCTACATAAAGTGAGGTTTCCCTTTTTAGGCCAAGACAGTAGGGTCAGTCAATGCCCCTAGTTCAGGTCACCCACCCTGAGGATTTTTCTGGCTTGGGAGGTAACACAAGGGGCTTCCCCAGCCCCGGGACCTTGCAGGACTTGGAGCGCTGGACCAAGGACTCCTTCTGGCTTGTCTTGCTGTCCACCGGCTCCCCCTCCTCAGCTGAGCGGTTCCGGGGGCGCAGCTTGGCCTGACAGACAAGTCCAGGGGCAAACAGATGTCAGAGGGACAGGCTCAAGGACTCACAGGAAGTGCATGCAGTCCCCAGTCAGGCTCAAGCACCTCTGCAGTCCTCTCACTCAGGTGGACGGGAAGGCACTTAATGACAAACGTCCCCGAGAGCTGAGCGCTGCCTTGCACACGGTAGCCCCTCAAAGAGATACTGTTGAATTGAATTCAGGCTAACTGGGCTGGACAAAGCCAGAGGTGACTTCCAGCCCTCTGCCTTGGCTCATTCTGCTTCCTCTGCCTGGAAGGCCTCCCACCACCAACTCCTGTGCACGCCTCAAAGGTGGACAAGTGCTGCACGAGGCCTTCCTGCTGCTGTAGAGCAACTTCTCTCTCTCCAAACAGGCCCGGCCCCTCCCATGACCCCTTCTCCATTCACCACATCTAACTACGGGCATGGCTTTGTCCCCCACCATTGCATGAGGTTCTGGGACATGCCACAGCCTCGTTCCTCCTTCCATCACATTAGCACACAGCATGGGGTCCATCAGGGTCCTCCCCAGAGAGCACAATGAGAGGAGAGATGGGACGAAGGAGGTGGGGGAATGAACAGATGATGGAGAGAAGGCGGCTGGAGGCAAGGCGCCCAGCTGGCCAGGTGGCCAGATGTGTTTGCTAACTAATCAGATCGGTACCTTCAGGGCTGATGGGCTCAGGCCAGGGAAGAGGTTGACTTTCAGCCCCTTGGTGCCCAAGGACATCCGGGTCCGGCGGTTCTGAGGCTCCTCCACCACCTCCTCGTCTGAAGATGGCACCCGAGAAGCTCGTGGCTCTGCAAGACCCAGAGAGGGCTCAGCACAGTTGGCAACCCCACGCCCCCACCACCGGGCACGCCCCCAGACACCAACACAGACATCAAACACACGCCGGCCCTACCGGTGGAGTCCTGGAACAGGCGTGCGTCCGAGTCTGCCACCTCCGACAGGCCCAGGGTACCGCCGGGCCGGATCGCCGGGGCCCGGTGCCCACGCTTGCGCCCCAGGTTGGCACGGCTCCGATACATGGCACTGTCGAGGACCTCAGTGTCCTGCTTGAGACAACAGCAACACCACTGCCATCGCTGCCCCGTGGCCCTGCCCCACCCCACAGGAGCCTCTCAAAAGCAGCTGGCTGTGAGCAATCCCTCCTGCAGCCAGGGGCCCCTGTTCATGCGACTCGCCCCCCACCCCTTTTCTGCCTCCTGGATTGAGACCCCTCAGAGTTCTGAGCAGCTGGGGGGCCCCAGGCACCCGGCTCTGACTCCACCACTCTCACCCCTCCACTATAGTCCATTTGCTGCCCTGGCTCACCCTCCACTGACCTCGATGAAGGAGAAGTCTTGACTCGGGGAGCTGGGGGGAGGGCCTTGGGGGGGCCGCCGAGGAGGGCGCACGGGGCCCTGGTCGCCCCGCCCGGCCCCTGCAGGGCCCCAGGTGCCGTCCACCTCTTCTGTCCGGCTGGCTTCACCATCAGGCTGGGGCCTCCAGGAGGGCAGACGGCCCCTGGCGGGCTCCAGGGGCTCCCCTTGGTCATCCGCTGCCAGGGTTCCTTCCTCTTCCGACAGACTCCTCAGGCCTGAAGCTGCCGACTCCCTCCGGGCCGCTGCCTTGGAGCTGCTGACAGCCAGCATCTCCTCCAGCAGGCCCTGGGAGCCAGAGGGGGGCGAGCGGGCCTGGCATCCACCAGGGCTGCAAAGGAGACAGACCAGAGGACAAGGTCACTGTGGGGTCTCATCTCCCTCTCCCGAAGCCCCTTTCACAAGATCTGCCCCCCGCCACCCCTCCCTCCTTTCCATGCTTTTCCCAGACTCCTTCGGGAAGGACATGGTCAAGGCCTCACACAACACAGCACAGAGGGGAGGAGCTGGGCCAGCCTGGCAGGTTCAAATCCTCCGTCCTCCACGTACTGAGGCTTTGGGTGGGTCCCTTCACCTACAAAAGCTCCTAACTTTATAGTTCTGTTGGCGGTATGAAATGAGAATGTAAAGCTCGAGTCACAGTGCCTGGCATTCAGTGTGTGCCCTGCAAATGACAGCTATTGTTACTACTGCGGTCGACGTTGTTGATGCTATCCATGTGTCCCTCCCAGGGGCACGGGCCAGGGTGCACACTCGCACTGGGATGAGCCAGGCGCTGGCCCGGCGGCATGTAGCGTCCTTCCACATGCCCCAGCCTCACAGAACAGGCCAGGCCCTGCAGACGGCTGTCGGTGGGGATACGCTGTTCCCTCACGGTGCCCCTCCACTCACTCTCACTCTGCTGGAGCCGGCCTGCTCCCCTCCCCCAGCCGCCACCCCTCCTCTGCCCTACAAGCCCAGGGCTCCACCGGTGTGCCAGCACCTCCCCCACCCCGCCCCTGCCCCTGCCCCATTCCACCCCTGCCCCTGCCCCATTCCACCCCTGCCCCTGCCCCATTCCACCCCGAGGCTGAAGTTCTCCCAGCCAGTCTGTGAGCAACTCAAGGGCAAAGAAATGGCCACTTTTGCCTTTGTGCCCCCAGCTAGCTGGCCCAGGGCCTGGCCAAGGGCAGGGCTAAGCAAATGTTTGCCAGTGAATGAGTAGCTGGGTCACCTTACATCTCAGCACAACTTAGGCATCTTCTGCCTGCTGCTCCCTCAAAACAACACACACACACACATGCATGGTGCGCGCACACACTCACTCACTCACACCTCTGAGTCCTGAAAGCAGTGGCCACACCTGACAACATTTAAGATAAAGTAGGGAAGATACACTACTGACTCTGTGACCTCAGGCAGGTCACACCCTTCTCTCCTGCAAACCAGAGATGATAATCATCCCTCCCTGTTAACCTGCAGCTGTAAAGATCAATGAGGTCACCTGTGCGGCCAAGCACTGCACACTGCAGAGTTCTCTGTGGCCTGGGAAGGGAAATCAGGGCAACCACTGGCCACCTACCTTCTGCCACCAAGAATGCTAAAGCTTTCTGAGGCTAACTTTACAGTGTGAGGCTCAGAGACGCCTAGGAACCCAGGAGCCTCTGGACTCCTAGTCCTGTGCACTCACCGCGGCCCCTGCCGTCTTCACTGCCTCCTCCCCAGGCTCGTCCATCGCCCCCTCCACAGCCTGGGTGCCCAGAATGCTCAAGGCTCAAGCACCTCTGCAGTCCTTTCACCCAGATGAACGGGAAGGCATTTAACAACAAACGTCCCCGAGAGCTGAGCGCTGCCTTGCACACGGTAGCCCCTCAAAGAGATACTGCTGAATTGAATTCAGGCTAACTGGGCTGGACAAAGCCAGAGTGCTCCTCAGCTCTCCCGGGCAATGTCAGGGCCCCATCATCCTTTCTTGTCCCCCTCCCCTGCCTCAACCCCAAATGCCTTCCCGACCCCTCCACCACCACCCCAACTCGCTCTAGACCAGGGGTGTCCAGCCCGCAGCCCAGAATGGCTGTGAATGCAGACCAACACAAAATCATAAGTTAAAACATTATGAGATTTTTCTGTGATTACATGTCTCAATGTATTTAATGCGTGGCCCAGGGATGCCAAAAGGCTGGACCACCCCCTGCTCTAGACCCTTCCTTGTCCCTCCTGCCCCTCCTACTACTATCAGCCCCTCCACTTATAAAGCAGCCCCGCCCCACATCTCCCTCCTCTTCCCTTCCTCCTTTGGAGTCCAAGGTTGGGAAAGGTCACACCATCTCCTCAGTCAAGCAAGACAATGAATCCAAATTTCAGTGGATGGAAATGTTAACGGAAGACATACAACGCCTTTCTGCACCTTTTCCAGGTGTAAAACAACCTCAGCTGGTTTTAGAACATTAAAGTCCCTGAGACAGACTGTGGTTGGCTCATAAAACTACCAGTGTGTTCCTTCGGAAAGTTCCTTTTCAGCAGCTGTGTGGGTAGAGACCATGGTCATGGGGCCAGGTCCAATGTCCTTCAGGTTCCTAAACTGTTGCTTCTTCTAGGCCTTAAGGCGGGGCAGGCAAGAAGCACCGCGTTGCAAACCTCCTGAGACAGTGAGTGCGAGCCACTGTGCACTCCACTCCGGACCTGGAGTGGCCAAGGCCAAGACAGAGTGCTCCTTCCCACGCTCAGGAAAGCATCCGTGGTCCCTGGCCCAGGAGCACCTGTGGCTTCGGAGTTGAGAGGCCTGTGGCACAGCCATTGGGCTCAAGCGGAACCCACCGGAAACCACCCAAAGGTGTGACGTGTGCCATTCCGTTTTGTCCAGCACAGTCACAGCACCACCTCGCCAGGGAAGCCGACAGCACAGGCTGCAGGGAGTCACACCCCAAACATCACATTCATTCAGAGGAACTCAACCTGGATGCACGTCATAGTTCAAGTTTTTAAAAAGTCAAAGTCAAAATAAAAATTCACAATCCAAACTGCCACAATTTCCCAAAGAGTGAAAATCCTTGGGGGAAGCTGGCTCTTCCCTCCCCAGAAAGGTTGCAAATTTTCGGACAGCTGGCACCACCTTCCCTCCCGCGTGGGGATGGTGTTCCCCTTACCTGGCTCCGGGGGCTTCTCCTGTCTCCATTCTGGGGTCTTCGGGGCAGGACTCCAAGGAAGGTGAGGTGTCATCTTCACCTTGGATCTCTGGCCCACTTGTCTCGCCAACCCCCAGCTCCCTGGCCTCCATGGGGTCTCCGGTCTCCAGGCCAGGGCACAACAGGCCAGTGTCCCTGAGGCCTAGCTCTGGGCACTGGCTGACTTCTCCCACCCCGTGCTCCCTGGCTCCGCTTGGGGCCCCGGAGGGCTCCATACTCCGGGGCCCCGGGTCCTGGGCCCAGTCCATCTGCCCCACTCCACAACCCCGCGGCTCCCGAGAAGCTCCAGTCTCTGAGTCACATGGCACCTCCAAATTCCTCAGGCCCAGGTCGTTGCCCCAGTCTACCTGGCCCACCCCCAGCTCTCTGGAGCTGCTACCTGCCCCCACAGCCATGTTCCTCAGACCGAGGTCTGGCGTCCAGTCTGCCTGGCCCACCCCACGCTCCCTTGATTTAAGGAACTCTCCAGCCTCCACACCTGACCAGTCGGTCTGCCCCACGCCACTCTCCCTGGCCTGGCTGTGGCCTTCTACCTCCCCCACCCCAGCCAAATCTCTGCCCCTCACCCCAACATCAGAAGTCCAGTCTTTCTCCCCAACTCCTATCACCCTCGGCTCCTCAGACCCCTCAGTCTCCAAATGGCTGGTCAGGTCCATGTCTCTCAGGCCCAGGTTGTCGGACCAGCCCATCTGTCCCACGGCATCCTCCCTCGCCTCACTTGGACCCCCGGAACCCACGCAACTGGACACTTCCAAGTTCCTGAGGCCTAGCTGGTCAGCCCAGTCCAAGGGCCCAGCTGAGGTCTGTTCGGGAGACGGAAAGTGGCCACCTCCCATCTTGCCGGAAGGGCTCAGGCCAGCACCGCTCACTCGGTCATTGCCAATAATGCCAAACTGATAGCTCCTCTCGGTAGCCTCCACGCAGAAGTCTCCACTCCAGTCTCGCTGCCCTGGGCTGAAGGCCGCCTCTGGCTGGGGCACAACACTGAGGCTGAAGTCGCCAGGCCAGCCTCGCTGCCCTACTTCCCGTTCTTCCAGGTCAGCTTCGCCCGGGCTCTGGCCCCCTGCCTGGCGACTCTCCTGCAGCCCTCCCACCTCCTGGCTGGCACCGCTGTCCTGCCAGCTGCCCTGGTCCCTCTGTCCCAGCGCCCCATCCTGCACCTGGGGGCTGCTGGGGCTGAACAGGCCCCCCGATGCTATCTCCTCTGGCCGGCCTGCATCCCTGCTGGCTTCACCCAGGCTGTCTCCTGCACTCGGAATCATCTTCCCAAACTCCTCATCCTGCTGTTGGGCTTCCTCAGGGCTGAACCTGGCGCTCAGGGCTCCTGTCCCGAAGCCTCTGTCCTGGGGGCCCAGAGCCACGGAGCTGCCACGACTGCTGTAGTCCCTCATCCAGGCACTCTTCCCGAAATCCTGGTCCAGCTGCTCAGGACCCCGGCTGCCATAGGTGCCGAGCGACGAATCCCTCTTCCCAAACTCCTGGTCCTGCTCATCGGCATCCTGGCTGCTGTACCTGCCAAGATGGTCCTTCCCCACTTCCTGGCTCTGCTTATCGGCCTCCGGTCTGGCGTAAGTCCCCAAAGAATCTCTCTTCTCAAACTCCCAGTCCTGAAGGCTCGCATCCCGACTGCTGTAAGAACCCAGCGAATCTCTCTTCCCAAATTCCTGGTCCTGGAGTTCCGCGTCGCGGCTGGAGAAAGCGGCCTGGGAATCCCTCTTTCTGCACTCCCAGTCCTGAGCACCTGCCTCCTGGCTCTGCTGAGTGCCCAGCAGGGCTGGCTTTCCAATCACCCGGTCCTGGGCTGCAAGGCCCCCTGGGGTGGACACCACGCTCCCATCCGGGCTGCCGGCCTCCACGTCCTCCCGGCCGATGCCTCGCCTGCTGGCCCACTCCCCAGTGCTCCCTTCTCCCACTCCTTGCCCACACTGGCTGGACCAGTCCCTCTCTCCAAGGCCCGGGTCCCCTCTAGGGCTCGCACCCCCAAGGCCATAATCCTGAGAAGTGTCTTGGCACCAGCTGGAAGGGCTAAAGTTGCTGGGCTGTGGGTCTGCTGCAATCCCAAATTCACTCTGCAGATCTTTCTGGGCCCAGCCAAGAAGTCCCTGAGAAACAGAGAGAGAGACAAAGAAACAATGCTTAAAGTCAATCTAGAATGAGAGTCAGTGCTGTCTGGTGCCCAAGGGCCACCCTTTGGCAACAGAAAGCCTGGGTTTGTGTCCCAGCTGCGTGACCTTCAGCCAGTCACTTAACCTGGCTGAAGGGTCCTCATCCTTAAACAGGGTAATGCCTACTGCACGGGCGGTCAGGGAGGATTCAACAAGATCACTGAACCCAAGTTCTCAGCATAGAGCCAGGCACAGAAGGAGCACTCAGCAACGCAAGCCATACTCAATCACTGACCCTAAGGTCATGTTTACAGCCCTTGGGCAACACTTGGCTACCTGCCCCGGCAGAGTGGTCTTCACACTTTTCTTAGGAGAGGACAAGACTCAAAGCCCATCCACCACCTCCTTTCCACTGCGAGATTCCACCACCACCTCAGCCAGTCTAGTCCCCAGGAGTTCCCAGCCCCTCCCTCCCTAAGAAAAGCACCCTCCACCCAGCCCTCCCCAGGAAGACCCCTCAGCCATCCCTGGGTCCCTGGGGGAGAAGGGCTGGGCAGGAGAGGGGGAGACAGGTCAGACAGCCTTTGACACAGGAGAAAGACCCAGCCAGGGCTCCCTGCAACCCACACCCCACACTCCCTGACTCACTCCTGAGGGCGGGCAAGCCCTGGCCTCAGGGCTGCGCAGCCGGCCAGCCTCATCCCGAAGCGCTGCATTGGCCAGCAGCCTCTTCAAAATAGACATGCTGTGCTCCCCGTCCCCAAGCCCGGCCATCGTCCCTGCCCCCCACACCCGCCCCAGGGAGGCTGGGTAAGGCAGGCACCCCAACAGGGCTGGGCCACTCCCGCGCCGGGACCTGTCCGACGGCTCTAGCTCCGGGCTCACCCTGGCCCCGCTCCCTCTAGAGCAGCTGCAGCTCTGGTGGCCCCGCCCAGAAGCCAGTTGAGTCACCCACATCCCGGGACAGACACACCTACTGCAGGAGCCAGCCAGTTCTTAACTCCTTCCTGCTCCTCCTCTTCCACTCCCTCCCCACCCCCAGGCCCCTGGCTCCTCCTTCCTCCCAGCCCCGCCCCTACCAGCCCAGGCTCGGCTCGAAAATACAGTTCAAAAGCCACCTGGACCCCAGCCCTTAAAATCAGAGGCATCCTGGTAGGAGAAAGGGCACTGGGCCCAAGCCCAGCCGCCAACTTGCTGGATAACCTTGCACAGGCTCTGCCAGCTCTGGCTGCCTGTGTACAAGGCAGGTCTTGAGCTCCATGGCAATAACCCTCATAAAAGCCAACACTTACCAAGCACTCACAATGAGCCAGGCGCTATTGTCACTACTTTACAAGTACCATAGTTCATTTAGGCTTCCCAATCACCCTGTGAGGTAGAGTTATCCCCATTCTACAGATGCAGAAACGGAGGCACAGGCAGAAAAGCAACTTGCTCAAAGTCACACCTGGCCAAACAGCAGAGCCAAGATGAACCCAGGCCATGTGCTTCCACCACCCCCTCTAAGTGGCTGCGCTCCATTGCCTTTCACAATACTCATCCTAATTACAGCCTGAACACTCAGCGGATGCCAAGCACTGAGCACATTCCACATCTCACTTTACCTGCACTACAACCCTAAGAGGTAAATGTTATTATGAAAGGACTCTGAAGCTTAGAGGTTAGGGCACATTCCCAAAACCACTCAGCTAGTAGATGCTGGAATCAGGTACAAGCTCTGGCTAAATCCGAAGCACCGTCCCACAGCCCCTGCAAACAGCTTTGCGAGGCTGAGCAGCTGTGAGGAGCACGTCCACAGGTGCCCTGCTCTCCGTTAATACCCCAAGCTCTTGACACACAAAATCCACGTAGTCCACACTGAAAGAATGAAACCCACTGAAGCCCTGGCTTCCATCCCCTGAGGCCCCCACCCTCCGTGCCCCTGTCCTCACCTCAGAGCAGGCACTTGGGGTCTGTGTGTCCTTCAGCTCAGATCCAGCTCCCCGCCGTGCGCTGCCGGCATTAGGTGGTGGTGAAGCCAGGAGGTCATCGAGCCAGCGGGAGCTGCTGCAGGGGTCAACTTGAGCCTCTGTCCTGGGTTGCGTAGTCTCCGCCCGGGCCAGGGTCAAAGCCCCCTCCTCAGCAGGCAGTGCCTGCCCAGGGTCAGGGGTATCAGCAAAGAGGACACAGGGCTGATCAGGGGGTGCTGGCTGCTGCTGCCCCAGGACTGGCTCCAGGACGGGTAGGGCGGCCTCCCTGGTGGCCGGAGGGAGCAGGGACTCCTGTCCGGCCAGGGGCTCCTGCTCCTCGTCTCTCTCCTCTGCCTGTAGCAAGGCCGGTTCAGGTGGGCCCCCTGTTGTTGGCAGAGGCTCGAGGGGAACAGCTGAAAATGGAGGCTGACTCTCCCCATCACCTTTTTGGCTTAGGAAGATGTCCGAATCATCTGTCTGCACCCCGGAACCAGGTCTTCCTGGTCCCTCTGGGGCTGACCAGGCCCCTTGCCTCTGCTGGGACACTCCCTCTCTGCTGGATGCAGCCCAGTCAGGAGCCTCGGTGGCCCCGGCTCCAGCAGCCTCGGCTTCAGCAGCCTCAGTGGCTTCAGTGATGGGGGAGGGGGGCGGGGAGTCCAGCCGCCATACCCCTGGCCGAGTGGGGAAGGTCCATTCAAAGGACTGTGACAAGCTCCAGTTGGACCCTGATCCACTCTCAAAGGGATGATCCAGGGCTGACTGGCTCCCCTGGGTCTGTGGCAGGTGGGCCAGTGAGCCCCCCAGCTTCTCCTGGTCTTGGCCAGGCGGCTGGAGCACCCCTTCAGAAAATCGGCGCTGAGCCAGGCTGGTGGGGCGGAGGTCTGCATTGCCCCTGGCCACCTCCTCGCTGGATGGAAACGTCCGATCGGGATCAAGCAACTCACCCCTCTCCATCAGGGGCCCAGACAAGGTGACTAGAGGCTGCTCTGGGCTGTGGCGCCCCGAGAACTTCTCCACAGGGGGGCTGCCGGGTCTGGGGGTCTCTGGAGCTCCCCTAGCAGGGAGCTCTGGGCTAGGGGCACGGCAGGAGCCTTCGTCGGGCAGGGCCACAGTTGGGGATGATGGAGCCACAGGGAGGCAGGGAGAAGGCCCGGAAGCTGAAGGACTCTGGACTTCTGGAAGATGAGAGCAGGGGGGAGAGCTCTCGTCGGGTGAGTGAAGCCTGGGAGAGCCGGGGGCTGGGCCTGAGGCTTCGGCAGGAAGGCCTGGGCTGGTGGACCCTCCATTCTCTGAGGCGGGGCCTGGACTGGAGGGGACCCAGGGCTTGGAAACCTGCAAGAGAAAGGTCGAGAGCCATCGCTCACCTTCAGGTGGGCGGGGGAGGCCCCTGCCAACCTGACACAGACCACAGGTCAGCTGCTTCTTCACACTCTCTCTCCACAGGCAGGAGAAAACCAGGGTGTCTCTCAGGACAGCCAGGAAAGATTAGTTAGGGCTTCTTCAGTGTCTCAGAGTTCTCAGACCCCTCCTTTAGGCCCTCCCCCCAGAAAAAAAAAACACAGTCCAATTCACCTATGACCCACACCACTTCTCATGATTCAAACCCACCCACCTACCCACCCCAAAGCTCATCGAAGGATCTCCTAAGTCCACGGCTCATGGTCAAGAGCACCAGCTTTATAAAGACGAAAGGATATTCAGGAATCTGACCATCTAGGCATGTGGGGGTTCTGCCTCAGAGCAGGACCCCAAGCCCAGCACGCTGGGGGTAGGGGTAGGGGTGGGCGGGGGGATCTGCCCACCCTGCTCTGTGCACCCACCACCGGTCCAGTGTGGCCCTAGCAAGCAGGCAGGCCTTGGGCTTCAGCAAAGGCCCTGGGGGACGTGAAAGTTCATGGCACGGAGTCGCCTGACACTGCCTCTCGTGAGCTGTAAGCCCTCCCGGACGGCGGTCACTTGGCTTCTCTGAGCCTCAGCCTCCCTCCCCTTCTGTCTACTGGGGCAGGTGGCAACAATGTCCCTCTCACAGAGTTAGGGGAGGAGGAAGTAAGACTTGTGTACGTGGCCTCTCGGGACAGGACTTATAAAGAATGGATACTCTGGGACAATGCAGGGGAGGAGGACTAGGGTGCAGGGAAATGACCAGGGGGTGGGGCACAGGGGGATATGGGAAAGGAGGGGAGTAGAGGGGCACCAGGCACCTGGCACTGCTTCACTGCTCCACTCAGCCTGGCCCCAGACGAGAAGTGAGTCTTCTTCTGTCTGACCTTTGCCCTCCCCAGAGGTCACGCTTTCCTTGCTGTCCTCTATGGGGCTGTGGGCCTGGACGGAGGAAGGTGTGTCCTACTTGCTTCTCACGCCCCTTCCATTCTCTCTGTGTTCCCAGTTCCCTCTTCTCTACAAAGCTCTAGCTTTAAAGCTCACACCCTCCTATTAGAGCCCCTACAGACCCCCCCATGCCCTGAAAAGTGCAGGCCGTGGATCACTGCATCCCCCCAGTACTACCCCTGGCACAATCTGCAGTGACTTCGGTCAACCCTTCCAGCACCCTGGCTCAATTCCTCAACCTCTCCTTCTCTGGTGACTTTGTGACCTGCCTCTCTGTGACTTTGTCCTTACCCACAAGCGCAGCCCTCCACGACCTCAACTTCAAGTCTCCCCTCACCCACTCCCACCTCCTGTCTGTCCAGGTCCCTCTTTCCATTCCCCTGCCTCCCTCCATCCTTCGACCCCTCTGGGAAGCATAGCCACTAACCCTTCCTCCTTCTCACCATCTCCCAATCCCCTGCTGCCCTTACATCTCTCCTTACCACCCTTAAAGTCACTTTTTTTTTACACAGCCCTCAACTCCCTCCTGCACCCGACTGTTTAGCCTGTTGACATACTGCTCCCAAATGCTCCCAGGCAACGCTCTCTCATCTTGCCTCCTCAAACCTCAGACACCTCCTCCCGCCCGCTCTCAGCTGAGGACCTCGCTTCCCTGGGAACACAGAGGCCAGGGCAGGGAACAGCCCCAGTCTGCCACCTGAGGTGAGCCCAGATCGTGGAGTGTCCTTGCTCGGGGCTAAGGCCAACCCCTCCCTCCTCTCCTGCATCACTGATTTTTCCTCCTCTCCTGGATCATTGCCATCAGCACACAAACCGCTTTCATTTCTTCCTCCTTAAAGAAAAGAAAAACACTCTTGCCCTCACCTCTCTCTCTAACTACCCCTCATTTTCTTGGACATGCTGTCTACATTCAGAGGCTGTCTACATTCAGTCTCTGTCCCCATACTTTGTCCCATTCTCTCTTGAACACACCCCACACAACTTCCTTCTTTACCACGCCACCTAAGTGCTCTTGTCAGGGTCACTATGTTCCCCTGTCAGTTTCTCAGTGCTTACCTTCCTTGACCTGTGAGCAGCGAGTGACAGCTCATCTGCCCTCCTCCAGTCCTGGAAGGTGGCTCCTTCTGGCCTCCAGGACTCCACCCTCGCCAGCTTCCCTCCTACCTGTCTGCTGTTCTGTCCTGTCTCCTGGGCTGTGCCTGGGTCCTCTTTCCTCCAGTGCCCCACCTACTCACCCCCCTCGTGATCTCAGCCAGCCTTAACTACCATCTGTATGCTGATGAGACCCTGGAACTCCAGACTCAAATAGTCAACTGCCCACTCAACATTTCTATGTGGCTGTCGAAAAGACACCTCAAACTCAACAAATCCCGAAGTGATCTCCCATCTCCTCCCATCCTGCTTTACCCTTAGAAGTCCCCACGTCACTAAATGGCAACCTCATCCTTCCGATCGCTCAGGCCAAAAACCCTGGCATCATCCTTTATCTTGCATGCACACTAGCGCTCTCTCTGCTCGCAATCTATCTGCAAATCCTGTCCTCAACTTCACCTTCAACTTCTACCCAGAACGACCACTTCTCGGCATCTCGGCATCTCGGCATCTCGGCATCTCGGCATCTCGGCACAGGGTATATCCAGGGCCCATCGCCTCGCCCCTGAATTATTCCAACAGCCTCCCCGGCTGGCCTCTGCTGCTGCTCTTAGCTCCCTGCAACCCAAAGGGCCAGGTGCCTCTTTACAACTCTCCCCCAAACCACTCAACGGCTCCGGTCCCTCTTTCAAGCCAACATCCTCCCACTGGCCTGCAAGGCTCCACGCCTCAGTCATCGCCTCTCAATACTCGCTACCACCCAGCTCCTCCCTTGTCGCCTCGACGCAGACAGCCTGGCTTCCTTGCCAGGGAGGCACGAAGTCCTTTGTCCTTGCAGCTGCCTCTGCCAAGAATGCTCCTCTCCAAATATCCTCACAGCTCCCTCCCTCACCTTGTTCGCAGAAAGGCCTTCTCCAAAGACCCTCACCCCAGCTCTCTCTCCTTTCTGGGGTCTCCCCAGCACTTGGCTGACTATACGTCTGCTGGTTTACAGGGATGCCGGGTCCATGCTGGCCTCCCGCACTGGAAGATGAGCCCCCGGAAAACAGGGATGGCGCATGCTCTGCTGTCTGCTGTTCCCCCAGCACCCAGCTCAGAGTGGGTGCTCAGTAAACATGTCTTAGGTGGACGAGCAGAGTCAGGCCTCCACCGCTGGGCAGATGGGCAGCCTCTGAGAGCAATAAGGGCTCAATGACTCAGGAAAGCGGGCCGACTATCCTCCCAGCACCCTACGGTGGGGAGAAGTGAGGATGTAACAGGAAACCCCCAAGGAGGGACTATTCCTTGGCGCCCGGAGAAGGCAGCCTGGGCAGGAGAGCACTGGAGTCAGACAATTCAGATCTTGCCTCAGCCCCTGGCTAAGTTACTTAATCTCCGTGAGCTTTGGCATCTTTATCTCTCACGTGGAACCAACAGGGCCTACTAGCCTGAGTGATCTCAAGGATTAAGCTAGTCAGCATTCCAGAAACAGGCCCAGCACACAGTAGGTACTGGATCGATGGCAGTTGTAATGGATAATTACTCTAGGTAACCAGCAGCCTCATGGCCTGAACCGCACTTGATCAAGAGCCCTGGACTGAGAGTTGAGAAATCTGAGTCCCAGGGCCAGCCCTTGGGCAAGTCACATCCTCCTCGACCCTCTGTGCCCCCCATCTTAACTACAAAGAGATAGAACAGATGATCTCAGATAACCCTTCCACCTCTAAAATACTATGATTCCAATTCATAACAGGAGGATAACTCACATCAGTAGGTACCTCAGAGCTGGCAGGCTGAGCCAGGTCCCCGTTGAAGGTCCGCTCCAAAGGGGGGCTCCTGGAAGAGAGAAAGACAGGAAATGAAGGCACAGGACTAAGAAGCCAGTTGTAGATGAATAAGGGGACAGAGCTGTCTGATAAGAGTCTGCCTAAGTGACTTAACAGCACCCGAAGTTAACAACCCCACCCCCACCCCCACCAAGGCATTTTCTCCTAGCCCTGCCTGGAACCCCTGGGAGAGAGAAGCTGTACGGTTTCCGCAGAGAGACTGTCCCAGGGGATAGTTCCTATCCCTAACTGCACATCAAGGGTTAAATTCCCCTGGTCCCTTTAGAACAAGCATTCTGGCAGCCCAGACCTCTCTAGGAGTCCCTAAAAGATAACCCCTCCTTCCCCTAGCCCATTAGGGGTTAACGTTCCCCTCCAGCCAAGGAGAACACAGCTGGTCTAGCTGCCCTGCCAATACTTCTTGAAGGATCGCAGAGGGGAGGGAAGGGGGATGAGTGATTTTCCAAGGTTGAAGTTGTTCCTCTTCCGCTCAGCTCTGAGCCAGGGAGGGAAGGGGAGAGGGGTGGACCCAGCCTGGAGCCCTGGGACAATGAAGGGTTAATTGGGAGCCCTGCCCTCCAGGTACTTTCAGGTGAGAAAAGGCTGGAGGGCAGGGTAGGGCAGAGGCCTTCAGCTTTGGGCTCAGACCCGTGGCAGCCCTGCCCTTCCCAGCAACAGGAGGGGGCGGGGAGCCTCTGGGCGCAGCACAGCCACCAAGGGCCCAGGGGGCCAAAGGGCCTCCAGCAGGCTCTCCCTTCCCTGGGGATGGCCCCTGTGCAGCAGACGGAACCTGAGATCCCTCAGCCTCTTCCTCCAAGGCCCTGTGCCCACCACCCAAGAGGTCCTGGCCAGCCTTCCTTCACACTGGCACCAGCTCTGAAGAAGGGCTTGCATGCAACAGTCTCCAACCTGACCGTAATCTCTGTTCAGTGACACTAGCTGGCCTGGTATCAAGGTGTGTTCACGTCTAATCTCTCCCATCAGACTCCTACCGGGCAGACTGTGCCCTTCTCATCCTGACACACACACACACACACCTGCACCTGGCACACCGCTCCACGCCCAGCAGGAGCCAGCAGTTAAGAGCATATGCTTTGGAATCAAACAGACTCGAAATCAAACCTGTGTCCCTGTTGCTGAGGAACCATGGGAAGTCACTTTTGAATCTGCTTCCTCACTCTTTTTTTAAAGTTAATTGTTTTATTTTATTTTTTTAGAGAGAGGGGAGGGATGGAGAAAGAGGGAGGGAGAGAAACATCAATGAGTTGACTCTTGTGTGTTGCCGCCAATTGGGGACACAACCCAGGCATGTGCCCTGACTGGGAATCAAACCAGTGACCTTTCAGTTTGCAGGCTGATGCTCAACCCACTGAGCCACACCTGCCGGGGCTTCCTCATCTCTAAAATTGATCTACTAGTCTGTTCACTGAACAGAATGGCTGTGGATTGAAAGAGGCAAAATTCAGGTCTTGGTATGAAAAAAAATAAACTTCCATACTGTGCATTTGAACTCCGCCATAAACACACATCAACTCTGTAAAGAAAATTGTAATCCTAAAGAGAATAGAGTCATAACACTGTCTGCTGGCAGAAAGCGCTGTACTTTAGACCAAGGTCTGCCCACACTCGCAGCACACGACTAACCTAAAAGTTAAAGTCACAGTCCCAGATGGGGCCACCCCCTTGGTCCTCCATGCTGCAACAAAACAGACAGCCTCCCGCCCCTCACCTCTCCTTGGGGGTCTGGCTGTGCTCTTCTGGGCACTCCGTGGGAGATTTTGAAGCCCCCTCCTGGGACCATCCCCTGGAGAAGGTCCCACCATCCTCATCCATGGGAGCAGCAGCGACGCCATAGGTCCTGGGACCGTATCTTGAGCTCCCATCGTGGTTAAAGGTGAGGCGGGAGCCCCAGAGGCGGTCAGGGCTGGCGGGGACCTCCTTCCGGGGCTGCTCCATCTTGGCAAGGATCTCTTCCACTGTGGTGGCTGCAAAGCGCTCTGAGGAGGGACGGAAGGGGGCAGGGGCCTTCCGCACGCCCCCCGGGGCAGCACAGCGAGCCGGAGGCGTCAAGATTGGCATCTCTTCTTTCCCAGAGTCCTCTTTCCCAGGCTCCCGGGTGGGCTCTCCTCCTGTAGAGGTCTCGGCCGTTGGTCTTGGAGCAAAGGGAAGAGGACGCTTGCTGCCACCATAGGGCTGGGGTCCTGCCAGCATGTTCATCTTCCGGGCAGAAGGTAGCTCGGCCAGAGGACCCCGGGGGGGCCGAGGCCCGACAGACACCAGCAGGCCAGGCTTGGCAGGCAGGGCTGGCTTGGCAGGCAGGGCCCGAGGTTTGGGCTTGACGGGGGGTTTGGCCCGAGGGTCACCTACCAAAAGGAAAGGGTTGGTTGGGGAGGTTGTCAGAAGAACCAGGAAGCAGAACTTTATTTCCCACCCTCTTAACCCAAAACATTGACGACCTTCTAGGCACAGGCCACACGTCACCTCTTCCATGAAGCCTTCCTTAATTTTCCATACACATCCCAGAAGCATCTTCTGGTGTCTCCAAATTCCCAAAATATTTAGTCAATTCCCCCTATAAGCTAAAGCTACTTAAGGGCCCAGCTGGCACCTTATTTCTCCTTGCACCCTACTTTGCATCTAACACACATTCCTGTCAAACAAACGAATGAATGAGCAAATGAACCAGTAAATAAATGCCTACCTACCCGTATCAAGCAGAGGGGCCAACACTTCCCCAATCCGGTCCTGTCCTCTTACAGGACACTCTTCCATCCCGCCACCTACAGTGAACCTTTTATCCCAGCTGGTCCTCCCCGCTCTGCCTGCCCCACCCTCAGCCACACACCTGGGGCCACCTGCCCACTGCCATCCGGCCTGTGAGGAGGAATGCAAACCTACTATTGACCTATCCCACACAAAAGTATATAAATCTGCTACAGGGAAACAAACAGGACCAGGAGCCTGCCTTCTGTATAAGGCATTCCAAAGCCAAATAAAAGACCTTGGAATTACTCATGGACACAGCCCTTCTAATAGAAACCTCTATCACCCACTCATTCGGCTCAGCCTAAGCAAGGAGTCTAGACAGCAGCCAGGAGGCCTGGATTCAAGCCCCATAGGTGCACATCATTTCTCAGGCAGGCCCCACTCTCCTCCTCTTAAAACACTCAGCTTTACCCACATGATTTTGAAGGTTAGCCTGTTCTTATCTGCGGGAGATCTGTGCCCTCGAACAGTTCTGAAGCGTCTCACCAGGAACTGAGAACCTTTCAAACTTTCACATTCACCCGGCATGTCCTTAACACTCCTCCCTCACTCCCACCTCAACAGAATCAGCATTCGCCACCCCTCTCCAGGAGAGAATGGGGTTCAGCCTCTGTCCCTTGCACCGTCCTCTCAGCCACCCCACTCCACCCTGCACCCACAGGCACCTACCTGGCTCAGAGCCAGCAGATGCCAGCTCCTCCTCCATCTCCCGGGGTGGCGGGGAAGCCATGGCTGTGCCTTCCCTGAGAGCAGACACTTTCATCACATGCGGCAGGACCTGCATGAGAATTGGGAAGCAGAGGGGTGTGAGCTGGGGTGGCTGAAGACCCAGGAAAAGAGAGAGAAGGCAAGAGGGCTGGGCGTTGGCAGTGGCTTAGCCAGGGGAAGTCTGCTACTTCTAGCACAGGCAGAGTGTGGGACAGGAAGAGGGAACTTCAGAGGGGGCGGGGAGGTCATGGGAGGTCCCTAACAGCCTATCCTCAACTCTTCCCAGACCACTCTCCAACTCTAGTCTCCTAACCCTAAAGTCCTGGAGCCGCAGGGAGCTGGCCACTCCTCCCTCCCCTGGCGAGCTCTCCAAGACACCCCACTTACCGTTCCCAGGGCACCCTCTGGGTACAGCAGCCCCGCTAGAGGTATCTACTCAGGGGCAGGGCAAGAGGGCCCCAAAGTCTTGCTTCTTCGTGAATCACCCAAGGGAGACGGGAAAAACCCGCTCCTCCCCAACCTGGGGCTCCGCCTCACTCACTGCCTGCCTCCCCTTTCCTGCTCACCCTCCTTCCCTCCCTCCCTCCCTCCCTCCCTCCCGCAGCTGGGAGTGGTTCCCTCTCCCCCCTTTCCCCCTCCTCCTTCCACATCCCTGCCCCTCTCCCACCTCCCTCAGAGCTGTCTCATCCAAACACGGAAAAATAAGGAATAAGAAGTAAACATCTGGAATACATTTTTTTCTTTAATTTCTCAATTGCTTTGGCTTCAGCTCGGAATTTGATGAGGTAAAGCCAGGGCCTAGTCCTGTTGCCATAGCAATGGCCTCCCACTGGATTTCCAGAGCCGCGCCAAGAGGAAGGAGGAGTCGGCCGGGGCCTGGGCCTGGGCTGGGAGAATGGGACAGGGCTTGAGAACATCCGGGGGCTGGGGTGGCCTGGGGGAAAAACTCCCTGGGTTCCCTCTTCTAGGACAGTCAGGGTAGGATGGCCTCAGCCTCTGAACTGAGGGTCTGTGGGCAGCCCTCACCAGCCTGGGGTTGGCCTCGGGGGTTTTGGGAGGCAGAAGACATTTTAAACCAAGTGTCAGAGCCCTAGGGCAGAAGCCAGTGGGTGTCCGTGCTCTAAGCCTGTACCCAGCGTGGGCTTGGGGTCTGATCCACAACCTTGTGCTGTGTGCCCTCAGACACAGTGCTTACTTCTCTAAGCTTCAGCTTCCCTACCTGAAAAATGGAGTTACCAAGGCTGTTGGGAGGCTTATGGGAGAAGGTGCAAGCAAACCGCTCAGCAGATGCCTCCCGCAGAAGTGCCCAATAAATGTTAGCCATTATTAGTCCAATTCCATTCAGTGGCACCAATGAGCAAATATCCTCGGTAACCACCTCCTCCTCTCCCCAGACCACTCCCTCACTGCCACAGGGCCCGGTCCTGTCACCTGTTCCTCAGACACTCCACCACCTCCTCGGTTCTCATCCCAGCTCCTCAGGCACCATCCCACCCACAGCGCCCCTCCCCCGGGCTCTCCAGACCAGGGGAGAGAGTCCTGGTCCCTGTTGTTCCAGAGGAAGGGGGATGTTTCCTAACACCTGGTATGCAGAGTCCCTGAGGACAATCTAACCCCCTCCAAACTGCAATGGGTGCTGCATTCCTCAGAGTCACCCACTCCTGCTGGTCTGGGGAGGCAGCACCAAATCCAAAAAGGGCCCCCTGATGCCTAACCTTTACAAAGCCCACCTACCCCTCACCTTTGACCCTGCCCCAGCTTGTTCCAAAGATGGAAGAGAGTGGAGAGAAACCCAGCACCATCAGTCCCCTTGGTCAGCCAACTTCCATGGAGCACGGCTCACTGTGGGTGGGTGAATAATTGTGCAGAGCCAGTCCAAGTGTGTGGGGGGGGGTACATGATAGAAAATATAAAATTCAAACACAGGATCGTTTCCTCGTCCTTGAACATTATTGCAAGGAACATGGTGTGGGTGGTTAGAAATGGGGATGAACTGGCCCAGAACCTAAACACTTTTACCTGGGGGCCTGATGGTCACCTCTGCTGTATGAGGGGGCTAAGCCATGAAGTGGGGGCTCGGTTTCCTCCAATGAAGCGGTGCCACAGAGGCGCAAAGGCCACTGCCAGGAAACCCAGGTGCCCAAGTCCGTAGCCAAAAGCTGCAGAATCACAGCGGCCCTGAGCACTCCCCACCCCAGGAGTCAGGGGGAGACTAGCTGAGCCCCGGGAGCAAAGGCTTCACAAGGACTGGGGAGAGGTGGGCAGCTCCAGCCCGGGGTAAGGGGCCTAGAGAGCGACGTCGGGGCAGGAGGGGTCGCCCTTATGGACCTTAGGATCTCCGGCCGGATCCAGATCCCGAGAGGTCGGTAGGGACAGCTCAGAAACTGCTGGAGGAGGGAGGGCCAACGGGAGAACGGAACAGCCTGGGGCGAGGGGCCCGTCTGGAGGGGCCCAGTGGGAAGCTCTGGACACAGAAGGGACAGCCAGAAGAGAAGGAGGAGGAGAAAAGGGTGGAGGTGGGGGGGGGGGGGGGGGGTGGGAGTAGAGGAGGAGGAGGAAGAGGAGGAGGAGGAAGAGGGGGCAGCAGAAACGCAAGACCGGTGCCCGGGATGTGAAGCAGCCGGCGAAAAGACGAGGGACTGGGGACGCAGACCGGGTGGAGGTGGACTGAGGAGGCTGGGGGCGTGCCGAGCGATCCGGGGGAGGGGGCTAGCACGGCTCCGGGGGAAGGGGGAGGCAGGGGTCCCTCCAGCAGCTCCGCCCGCCCCCGGCCCCGCCTCAAGTCCGCGCCCCTTCCCCCCTTTCTTCTGGCTCCGCCAGCACGAGCTCCAGGCCGTGCACCCTCCGCCCCCGCGCACACGCGCCAGCTCCCGCGTGCCCCCCGCTCCCTGCCGGCTCCCTGCTCCCTCCGCAACCCCGGCCCCTGCAAACTTTCCCGGTCACCACCCCGCTCCTCAAGCCGAGGTCCTGGCTGGAAAGCGCCCACTCCTTCCATGCGTCTCCCCCGCCCCCAATGCTGGACCCCGCCCCCTCCTTCACCCTCCAGTTCCCCGCCCCCCGCGCACTCACACGTTCCCCCGGGATCTGGCTCCGCTCGGCTCGGGCTCGGGCAGTCTCCGCCGCGCCGCGCCGCTGCCGCCGCCGCCGCCGCCGCCGCTGCAGCCGCCGTCACCGTGGACCTAGCCCGTGCGAGCCCGGGCGGGGCCCCGCCCCCGGCTCCGCCCAGGCCCACACCCCCAGAGCGCCTCATGAATATCCATGAGTCAGTGAAAACCCGGAGCGGGAAGCCCGTGCCGAACACGCCCGGCCATATGCAAATACTCGCGGCCCAGGTCCTCAATTATTCATGACCCTCGCAAATGAGGGGCCCGCCCCGCGATCAGAAGCGGGTGAAACTGACGCAATTCAGCCGTTAATAGCTATCGGGCAAAATGGCCACCGAGACGACCGGCTAGAGAGGAGACTGAAGGCTGACGGCCCAATCCTCGGGCCCAGCGGCCTGAACTGATTGAAGCACCATAGAGTCAAGGCGAGAAAGAAGGTAACCGCTGGCCGACTGAAAAGACTTCCTGGGGCAAACACCTGAGCCTATGCAACGTGGCCACCCCACGTGTATAAATTCAGATTTAGAGCGGCCAAGAAGATTGGAAGCTCTATTTTACTAATCCTCCTCACCTGTCTGCTGCTATGTCCGCTTCCCAGATACAAATTTTTCCCATAATTTGGTGGCCCTTTCCTCTCCTAAGAACAAAAGCCTCACCCTACTCCACCTCTCCTACACCCCCATCAGACTATGCCCCCACCCCCACCCCACTCAACCTCCAAACTCGGGGCTCAGGTTTCCAGTCTGGTTGCAGAGAGGCCAGTCAATCCTGATTCCATTATCTAAAGCCTTGGAAGACCCTTGATTCATAGGTGATTAGGGATGGAGCCAGTAGCTGCCTCCCTGTAGCTTGGCTAATGGAGTGGAACTGTGAGAGAGACTTCCTAATCAGATCAGCTCTCATTTCTAGACTCTCAGGTGGCCCATCCCGGCAGACAAGGGTGAAAGCCAATGCTTGTCCAGCCGGGAACAGAACAAGATGTACCTGAAGACTCGCTTCCCGGCTGACCAGCAGGGCCCTGCCCCGTCAGAGCAGTGTGGTAACCACCACAGACGACAGGGAGAGCAATACAACAGGGATAGAGAGAAGGCACAAGGACATGGTTTCCAAAGTCAGTTCCCTTTATTAAATGTTGATTTTTCACAGACCAGAAATACAAAATAAAAGTAGAAATATGCCCCAGTTAGGAGCTACAGGCCTGACCTCACGTGAGCCCTGCTGCAGCAACTTGAACAGGACGAGAAGCAGCTATGTCCCGAAGGCCGGGAAAGGAGGACGAGGATCTGAATCCCTGCACTGCCCTGCCTCCCACCCCATCTCTCCCCAAACTATAAAGAGCCATCCCTGTGAAGCAGCAGCCAAGGAAGACGCCTCCCTGCTGTCCCAGTGAAGTGCATACCCCCAGGAGGGCTTGTTCAGATGGCACAAAATCCAAACGCTACATTTCGTATGAGAAAGTGGTACAAAAACATGGAGGGGGGAGGAGACCGGGGGTGTGGCCGGAGAAGCCCAGGAGAGAGAATTTTCCTCCGGTCTACTCATCAGATCCTGATGCCGAGTCTTCTGAGCTGGGAGGAGTACTGGCCAGTTCCTCTTCTTCAGAGTCCTGAAAACCAAATGTCTCATAAGGGGAAAGGTAGATTCCTGGTTGCCCCCCCAGCCACTTTTCAGTGGTGAAGGCCCCCAGTTCCCTACCCCGTCCCTAAACTCCAGCACTAGCTTTCAGAGCCCCAGGATTCCACCTACCCACTCCATCCCATGACTCCAATGGACCGCGTACCCGGCACAGAAACACCGGCCACCCTCCAACCCCCAACTCTGATGCCCCACAGCCCCCAAACTCCTGCCGCACCTCGCTCCGCCTTCTCTTCTTTTTGCTCTTGTTCTCTCCTGAAGAGCTCTCATCACTGGACACAAACTCTTTGCTCTTGAAGCTCTCACTGAGCTGCCTTGACGACGACTTCGATGACGAGCCCCGAGAGGGCGTCGACTTCTTTTCCATCTTTGCCTTTGCTTTCTTCTTCTTCTTTGACTTGTCCCTACATTAGCAAGAAGGCAAAGGGGCTAGGCCTTCAGGTTACCCCTTTGCCGTCAAGGCCAAACCTCCCCCAGCTTTAACAAGGTCCCAGCCACTCTGCCCACCAGACGACAGTCAACAGCCGGCCACGTCAGCCCCAAGCGCCCCAAGGAAAAGCACTGGAAGCGAATAACCAGAAGACTTGGGGACCATGTCCTGGTCACATGCAAAACTTATTTGACATCTCTTGCTTTAAAAGTTTATATGAATTATGATCTGTAATATATATTTTTAGTTATCCCATACCTTCAAATAAAATTGACCCTCTAGGAAAATGGGCCACGTTTATCCAGTGAGCAGGAACTCCCTAGCATGTTACCCACGCGTAAGCCACTGCCTGCCCTGAGTGGAGAAGCACTGCCCCACTGCAGTCGGCAGCTTCTCTATTATCTTTAACACCCCAATTCTCAACTTGGACCTGCAGAAGTATCTGCCAAAAAAGCAGTTACTGGGCCATTCTGTTCCCATCACTCACCTCTTGGAAGATTCGCCCCTGCCCCCTTCGTATTCCTTCATGGCTTTTTCATATTCCCGCCGGGCATCCTCAGCCTTGCGATCCCACTCCTGACACACACACACACACACACACACACACACACACACAGAACAGAACAGAACAGAACAGAGAACAGAGAATGCAATCTCTTCCCTGATGCAGGCAAAATCCATACAGAAAAGTTCTACCAACAGCCCCCTGCCCCCTCCATCCATTACAAGATTGACCACCCCTCATCTCTTCTGCTACTCACCTCCTTCTTCTCTTTGGACATTCCCTTCCAGATCTCGCCTGCCTTCTTGGAAAGATCTGTGATACTGATGCCGGGATGGTCTGATTTGATCTTCTCTCGGCTAGCGTTGAGCCACAGCATGTACGCAGACATGGGTCTCTTTGGGGCATTGGGGTCTTTGCCCTTCTTCACCTGCATAACAACCCAAATGCCTTCAACCATCTATATCCCACAGACTCTGACACTCTCCCCCCAAAATTATTTGGGTCACCTACCTGGGCACAAAATGAAAGGAATAAACAGCATCAAGCTAGACTGCGAGCTCCCTAAGGGCAGGGACCATGTCTTCCTCCCCTCTGTACCCCAGTGCCCAGATCATTAGGGGCCCCATTCTTTAGTCTCCTGATTCAGACCTCTCATAAGCTGATCATGTCAAGGACCAGAGAGAAATATTTCCAAGAAGATACCTCTAGAGGCCACACTCACTGGCTACAAAAGTTAGCCCCAGGAAGACCAATTGGCAGGCCCCGCTGGTGGCAGACAGGAGGTAGACAATGGCCGCCCAGCAACCTCCCATTCAAGAGAGGCCGCACCTCCATAGGCTTCTTGCGGCTCTTGCGCTCCTTGGCCATCTTGGCCTTTTTAAGCTGTTTCCGTTTCTTCTCGTCCCGGTCACTGTCACCCTCATTACTGGAGGAGCTGGCAGAGGCGTTGCTGTCAAACCTGCCAGAAGAGTGGGGCTGAGACTCAGGAAGGGGGGACAGCACCCCATGGCCTCAGAGCAGGAAGAAAATAAGTCTAAGGGCATCATCTGAAAAAAGAGAGTGGGAGGAGGACTACACAGCCTCCGCCACCATCCCCAACTCTGCTTCCTCCCTGTGCTGGGATGGCAACTGCCGCCCCCTCTCCAGACCCAGCCCTAGCAACGGGCTA